AAAGCATGGAGCTAATATTACATAATATTTTGCTGATCTAAATACAAAGTACCAACCTTTGTTTCCTTGTAATGGTTTTTCATAAATACAATGCCAACCAACGGTATATATGATCTTCAAATGATATGGCTGAATCAGAATTTTGGAAAAATACCTTTACTTTGTAATGTTCAACTCATATTTTCTCATCAAATGCCCTTTCTATAAAAATTTACCTTTGACCTTACCAAAATGTTTTGGCGATGAGCACATGTGTAATATTATTGTCCATAATTTTAAATCATGTTTTGAGCATTCCAAAACTATATTTTTATGAAAATCGGTCAAACCAAACTAGAGTTATTAAATTAAACCATCCAGTTATCAGTTAAAATATTGCCATTACTGACATGACATGTTGCGCCATAAAAGGGCCCCTGCACGGTAGTCACGCACGGTAGCTGATGACAACCGGCTTTAAATGAAAGCTAAATCATTCCTAATTGTGAAAAATCACATCCCGTTCGGTCTCCAGAACTGCACCACATTTTCACCATTTGGGGGGCCTGGCATCTAGACCATATCTATCTCCAGAGGTTCAGGACAATTTGTCAAAAATGAAAAGCAAATGTCATTTGAAGTTTACCGATTAAAAACATATGTGAAATGCTGGACTTTCACATTAATAACGTCTTCGTGAAATCTTGGGGAAACATTTCGTCAAGAAGTAGACATCCCCACGGGCATCAATTGTTCTCCCCTCCTTGCGGATCTATTTCTTAATGCATATGAAACAGAATTTCTGCTTTGGTTGTCAAAGTCAAACCAATGTAATTTTGCCAAAGAAGTGTTACTTAAGTTTCTGGTACATCGATGATCTAATATCGTTCAATAACCAATTGCCAATTGACAAGTGAGATCGCCCCAACTGTTTCATATCTGGATCTAAATCTAAAAAAACTCTCCACAAGACTGTTTGACAAAAGGGGTGATTTCAACTTTCCAATAGTCAACTTCCCTCTCAATTGGAGCAATATTCCAACAGCTCCAGTCTTTGGTGTTTTCATTTCACAACTTCTGAGGTACAATATAGAACAAACTTTATGGATAACAACTTCTTTTTATTCGTGAGTGCGACGTTTCGATACAGATTCTTGTACCGTTGTCAAGCATAATGGAACATGAAGAAGGGGGAAGTACCAGGATATATATACTTCCCCCTACTTCATGTTCCATTATGCTTGACAACGGTACAAGAATCTGTGTCGAAACGTCGCACTCACGAATAAACAGAAGTTGTTATCCATAAAGTTTGTTCTATATTGTACTTCCCAACTTCTAAAATGCCACCCAAAGAAGTTCTGAGGTACAGTCGAGCGTGCTCATGTTAGCACGATTTTAAAGAGCGTCAAACCACTCTTGCTCAGCAGTTGTTTGATCAAGGTTACAACATTCCAGGCCTCAGTAAATCTTTCAAGAAGTTTTATGGCAGACAGTTATACATGAGAATCAAAAAAGGATTTATTCCTGGTAGATGTATTAGTGAAAACACCAGGGCCTAGATTTTCGAAGCTCTCTTAGCGCTAAGATAGTCGTAAGTTAATGTATGGCACTTACGGCTATCTTAGCGCTTAGAGAGCTTCGAAAATCTAGGCCCAGGAAACTAAACAATCAAACTAACCAGGTTTGCGTCTCTTAACTGACTTTGAAAAGCTTTTGATACTATCTCTAAATCCCTTTTGACAGGTACTGAACACATTTGGTTTCGGTCCAAATATTGTAAAATGGGTAAAAATCTTAACGTTAAATACAACAGCATCAGTTATTCAAAATGGCCATCTGTCATCTCTTTTTCAGACTTGAAAGGGGATGTAGACAGGGAGATCCAATTTCGCCGTATTTATTCATTATTGCAGCTGAAATATTAGGTATTATAAGGAAAGACACGGACAAAAAGGGCATAACGCTTAATGATACGGAACATAAACTAGGACACTATGCTGACGAAACTCAGTTATTTCTAGATGGATCTGAAAAAGTCTCAGTGCAGCAATTGAAACACTGAACAAATTTCACCAAATGTCAGGACTTAAAATGAACATACAGTGCACTCTGTCTAATTCAGGACCAGCTTGGGACCGACTAAAAAGTCGAATTACAGTAGTCCGAAGTACACAGATTTTAATGGAGTTATCTCCCTATTATCAGCAGAATTAAAATTATAAACTATTTTTTTTGCAATGTTATTGAAAAAACAACGATTCTCGGACACCTGCTTCGGCAGCGGGTCCACAATAACATAGTCAAAGAGCAAAGTAACGATGTTTCGAGGAATTCATGAATTAAATTGAATAAACTAATGAATGAAATCAACAACAACATTCATAAAAGTTGTCAAACGTGCATATGAAAATTACTATTTCCATCTTTTGTGCGATCATGTAATGTAAAGTCAAGTCACTGACAAGTGACATCTCGGCTCGGCCGCCTCAATCTTCACGCTCGGACGCTATGTTCAATGCGAAAATATATACATAAAAGCATTTTTTGTCACAGGTCATAGCCCACAAGCGCGGTAAGTCGAATACGTTCCATAATTTACGTATAGGTAGCAATTTCTTACTTAATATGTTCAGGGAATAGCATTATTTTACCCAATTTTTTTGTCTAAGATCTAAAAGTTTTCGTTTACGAGGACGGTATCCATTGCCGTAATATGATTGGCTGCCTTAGGTCATGTGTGTGATTTTGACCAATCGACCCTTATAGCAGACTGTGGCGAAAAAGCGTCATTAGAAACCAATCTTTATCCAATAAAATCGCTTCTTACAACTGATTGATATCACACTGTGTCTGATGGCATCTTAAATGCATAGTGACATTGACACCGAGTTGACATGATCGGCTTAATTATAGTAGATAAAACCAAGGCAATTTGGATAGGTTCAATGTCTGAAAGTAATAAAACTTTAGCCAATGACTTTAATCTTGACTGATACAGGAGAAATTGTAGGAATTCCCTTGAATGCGTCATTAAATGACCGGTGGGTGATTAACACAAGGAAACGCTTAGAACATATCAATAGATTACTCGCCATTTGGCGCGGAAGACATTTGACTCTTACTGGAAAAATCACTTGTTCTTAAAACTTTGGCAATCTCAACTCTTGTACATATTTTCTCTGCACTGTCCAACCCTTCTAAAACATTCATTAAATAACTCAATAAGATAATTTATATAATGATATAATTTATGCAATGAAAATGATAAATTTCGTTGTTTTATTAGGAAATGGCATCACTTATATACCATACTCTGACATTTTAAATTAGCACACATGCAATTTGACTTACTCAAACTATTGTGTCCACTACAGTTATAACATTTTCACCCAGCTCCTATTTATCTATATGTACACCCTCATATGTGTATACATTTTGTACTAACTTGATGATGTAACTGTATACACATATGTCACTCTTCTGTCTGGACATGCAACGTGAAATGGAATTAAAAATGAAAAAAAATGTTTTATGGTAGACACGTCGAGGAAATTTCCAGATATGATGCATCGGTGACACAAAATATGTCACCTTTTTGCGAACACCTGGTATCATCACTATTTCATAGGGATTCATAAACACATGCTCAGTCATCGTATCAATCAATCTTTATTCAATACTCATACGCCACAGACCTCCAGTACAATATATAGTAGTACAATATAGAACAGTTTTATAAATAATATTGATATTATGTTTTCATATACTTATGACGTTCAGACGATGTTCGATGGTGAATATTATTTTTTGAGTTTCATAGCTTGATATATCAACATAGCAACATTCTGAATCATATCATGGTTGTTGCAGCTTAATATGGAATAACATTTATCGATTGATGGATGGACATAAAATTCTTTAACGTACTTTGTACGTGGTTCATCATATAATGGACATACCAGCAAAAGATGCTATTAATTTTTCAAGACATTTATATTACATGATTTACATAATCTATCTTTTTCAATCAGATCATGTGATGGGCAGTGAAACACCACGTGCTAAACTTACTCTAAGTTTTGTTATCGTGACACATGATAGCTAATACTCAGTATAAATGTACGGTTTAACAGATGAATAGTAATCACATTTCGTAAAAAAAGGAAAGTTTTTCAGGCCAGTTTTGTTGGTATATATCTTTCCATCTTTGTGTAAATAAACTAATAAACGTTGAGGGAAACTCAACATACTGCTCATACCACATGTGATTAAAACCTGTTGTAAATAAAAGATTCTTTACATTCGTTAAGCAATTTGTGTGTCCATTTCTAACATATGAAAATCATCATTTCATAACATTTCTTCGGTAGACGATTAGAGGACATACTTAAAAGTCTTAACCAATATTTGATTAATTTAACTTGTGAATTTATATTAAGAGGAAACCTGCCACACTCACCATAAATCAATACACTAGGTGTGCTCATCTTTACCCCAAGAAACTTCTTATATGCAAATAAATGAACTCTTTCTATTCGCATGGTGACAATCACTGGATTGTCTGTCCTGACTCGATTTGTTTACAAACAACATCGTACAGCTGCAATACTGCTCAAACAAATATATGTACATGACATAGTCACAATTGTACAATCGATTCTACTCTGAAAAGGTTTTGTCGCTTTTATTATAGTACACAAATGTGTGAATATCACAGATATTACGGTGTAACTATGGCAACAGCGTCGTTAATAATATATAACTGTGTGAATATCACATATATTACGGTGTAACTATGGCAGACAGACAGACACCGTCGTTAATAATATATAACTATGCGAATATCAGGGAGGAACCGAACATGGCTTGTCCCACAGAAACATTTACTTTCCTTAACCTTGAGAAAAAACCTGGTTATTTCTAGAATGTTCGAGAACAGACTTGTCTATAAACAATCCCGGCCCCCTGAACAGCACATTCTCTGTCCCTCACGCTGATCTTCTTTTGTCTTTACATAGGTTGCATGGTAGCAGTCATTTGCCTTGGAACGACTCTGATGACCTTCCCCTTTTCATTACTGTCATGGTACCAATCAAGAATTGTTCGCAGGAGTCGGGTTAATGAAACAAAGGCACAACATGAGCAGGCATTACAACAGCTCTCTGCATCTACATCAACGACAAAACCAGCAAAACCTTGCCGCGATAATTTTAAAGAAACCTTTGAGAGAGAGAAACGTTATATGTGTTGTGGCATGCGTGGCGGATTGGGGAACTTCATGTTTGCATACGCCTCGGTGTATGGAATGGCGACAAAGGCCAACAAGTCAGTGGTGATACAAAAGAACAACCTTCTTCTGAAGTACTTCCGGATAAAGGCCAAGGTTGTCAATGACCTCTGTGTTTGCCAAACAGCCAAATTTGTGCACGAGGGTCCACCCGGCCAGTTCAATAAGGATTTCCTGAACTTGACCGAGAAAATAAATTATCGGCCTTTCCGGTATTTTCAGTCGTGGATGTACTTCCGGCATGTCACAGACGACATCCGCAAACAGTTCAGCTTCAAGGACGAACTGCGTGAGAAAGCCGTCAGTATTTTAAAGGTAAGTATACAAAGGGTCATCTTTCCCGACAACTTATACTGCATGATGTAGCAACCTCTGGAATACAACACACTCCCTAATAGAAACAAATGAGTCTAAGATCGATTTCTTCATTTTTCACTGTGTAAAAGTCACCATGGGGAAAGCACAATGTTCAGTTTAACATAGGACTAGTTCCCTTAGAGATGCAATACAATGCCATGTAAACACCTTTTCACAACCATAAAACATAGTGTGAGTGATTGAGTTCAGTTTTACGTCGCACTCAGCAATATTCCAGCTATATGGCAGCGGTCACAGAACATAAAACGCGAGAAGGAAATGTTGGTTAACGAAGTATAAGAGATTGCTTAAGACTTGTGGTGACACATCTGCATTAACTCCCACTGAGCATTGTATTCGTTCATCTCATAGTCAACAAAGACACGCACACTAGTAAAACTATTGTTAAACAACCGTGATTGTCATTGTATTGTACGTAAAAACTCACAAACACATGGCTCCTGTTAAACAACCGTAATTGTCATTGTATTGTAAGTAAAAACTCACAAACACATGGCTCCTGTTAAACAACCGTTATTTTCATTGTATTGTAAGTAAAAACTCACAAACACATGGCTCTTGTTAAACAACCGTGATTGTCATTGTATTGTAAGAAAAACTCACAAACACATGGCTCCTGTTAAACAACCGTGATTGTCATTGTATTGTAAGTAAAACTCACAAACACATGGCTCCTGTTAAACAACCGTGATTGTCATTGTATTGTAAGTAAAATCAATAACTGGCTCCAGTCAGTTTAGGACGTACGCACCAGGAACACACATCAAATATTCAAGCACATCCATTAAGTTGTCTGTCGTTGACCACAACTCTTTTCACCAAACATATTCGATGTTTAATATGTACCAATCGTGAACACCATGAGTATATGCATCGCGGGATGTCTGAACTACTCCCCGGTCTAAACACTGATAAGACTATTCACTACCTTGTCAGTGGATGCCCTGCGTTGGCACACATTATCATAAGCGACCTTATAATGAGGCCCGATGGTTTATTAGCGTCTTCGCCATGCTTGTGGTTTTGACTCTATCCATGGCTACACCCAGACTGTGTGGTGGGCGTCATGGAAACGATCATTATAATATCCTTTAAAATAGGCATCTGTCCCACTTGACTCTAATGTGATCGACAACATTCAGGACAAGTATTGTCAATATGAAACCAAATTTAATGTCACGCTTGTGTCCAAAACCCAAGTTGTCCATCACCCCATTCCCGGTGTCTCAGGTTTGGTAACTCCCAATCTTTACTAGCCCTATTCCTACGTGTAAAGGGGTCAAGGGCGATAACCTGATGATGAGTCTAACCAGGCTCACTGCAGTAATCTAATTTAGTCTGTATTAATAATAATAGCATAAAAGTTATAGATTGACATATTTACATCCTTTATATTTGTCTACGACCAATTTCAAAATAAATATCCGTAACATCCACCTAAACGCCATCTATTAATGACTGACATTTGCCCGACTCAGACAATATCGGAGGGTGAGATGGTAGAGGCTTTCGGTGCAGTGAGAAGTATGATAGTTCAATACAAAGGCATGACATAAGCAGAACTGAAAATAACATTGCATTTTCTTTGGCTACATATTTGTTTTCAAAGTTATATTTTGGAAAATGATAAGACATTTCGAGCCATCCTTTTGCAGACCCTATTGGCTGTAACTTTGTAACTCACTCAATCATGCACTCACTCACTAACTCAACCATGCACTCCCTCACTCAATCATGCACTCGCTCACTCACAAATAAGCATTTGTCTACACTCAAATCTCGTTTCAGTATTCAATACGTTTTAGTATAACCCGTTGGCGCCTCATAACTTGCCCCAGGCGAACTTTAAGACAAACTGAATATTAAAAAATGAGCCTCAAAAACGATGTGTATTAGCAACACTGAGTCAAAAGTTATATATGTTTCAGGGTTCTCGAGAAGCATTTGTAAAACAAGAAAGTGGCAGGGGCCATGACAACGTAACGACTGTCGGCGTACACGTGCGCAGAGGGGATATCGCCAAGTACCGGAAATTTATTGAGTACGGATATACGGTAGCTCCCCCACAGTACTTCTCCAAGGCAATGACGTATTACAGGAACAAATACAACACAACATTGTTCCTGGTGTGCTCGGACGACATTGCATGGTGTAAAGAAAACATAAACGGAAGTGACGTCATGTTCATGGAAGATAATTCATTCGAAGTAGATCTCGCTGTATTAACCCAATGTAATCATTCCATAATGTCGGTGGGAACATTCGGCTGGTGGGCCTCGTTCCTGGCAGGAGGCGAGACAATCTACTATAAACATCCAGCCAGAGACGGAAGTAGGTTCAGGCAGATCTTTTCAAAGGATTACTCAGACTTCTTCTACCCCGATTGGATTGGTATGGAGTGATGGACCACAATATGCAGGTGTGAGGTTGTGTATATAGCTGATGATTATGGTGCAGTGTGCGAGGTTTGGAGATGTTTGTTGCTTATTGGAAGGCGTCCGACTGCTATAATACCAGCACATCATCAAGTATATGTAAATATAACCATTTAAGAAAACCCTTACCCAATTTCGTTGTGGGAAGCTCAAAAGAACAATAACTTAGAAAATAGAAACGATAAAACGTTGTCAGTATCCATGAGATATCACTGTCAAATAGTGATGATACCATGTTTTCAAACAAAAGGCAATCGTAGCCTGCTTCCTACCGGGAATCCTCGTTTTAAATCCTGACGTTATTAAACCCGTGGGCATAATAACGAGTTTTGATTTTCAAATGGGCCCATGGGCTTAAATTTGAAATTACTTTTAGAGTGATCTCACTACTGAGATGGGTTCACTACTGGACACGTGATCTTAAAAAATCTTATGAACGTTTCAAAATGCGAAAATATTAAAAAAATATTGAACCCTTTGTTTCCAAAGGCGGATCAATGAGCGAAGCCCTGATTTCAACGCAACAGTTTGAATTTTAAAAGAGTTCTCTCAAATTATATCAGTTATGTTGAAAAGATGATTGAATTTGTTCATGGAATAAGATTCGTTCCATTAAAAGTTAAAAAGAACAAAGTTTTGTTGTATTTTACCTCTTCTCAAATTTAAGCCCAGGGATTAATTTCAGAAAAATATAAATGTTTCTTAGATGAAAAGGGTCAAATTCGAAATTAAGCCCATGATTTAGATACGAGGATTCCTGGTACATGCAAAGGTCAGTGTGTTGTTGACTTGAACAACACGTAACCGTCAGGTACAAGTCACGTGGGGGATGATGTCACTGAAGAGTTTAACATGGAAAGAACTTCCACGTCCTTCCTGAGGCCTTGAATGTTTTGTAACTATGATCAAACAACTTTGTGTGTCATAGGATGCGAATTGAAATCTTGATACAAAGAACATTCTCGATTGTACCTCAAATTTGTGAAATGTAGATCTTGTTTGGACTTGCCAACCCAAGCAGACATTCTGCATAGAGAAACAGATCTCAATGCTGGGAACACATTCGATATCAATGAGGACGCCTTCTTCTTGCCTAAAGGTTTTACCCCCACATGTTACGTAGATGTAATCAATGCAGAACTCCAGTATATCTCATATTGTGGTCTCAATATATACACAAAGAACTTAGTTAAGCGAACCTGACATATCTCACGATTGAATGAGCCCCGATGTTAAACCTTTGGAGCATATCTGGGACATGACTGGTAGTCGTGTGCAACAAAGGGATCTTCCTGTACAGAACCTGGGCCAATTGGAAGCTGCTTTACACGAGGAATGTCGTAGACTGCCCCTTCAGAGGATCAGGAGGCTGACAGGGGGTATGAGGAGGAGTCACATAGAGGTTACACTCGGTATTGACTTTGAATCATGTAAGTCACGCAAAATGACATTTGTAATGTTCGCTTTCACTAATAAATTCAACATTAAACATTCCAGGACCATACTTGTACTGACATGGTTTTGTATAAAACTCAGTGTGTGTTTTTTTTAAATCGGCAATTATCATCATAAAATCAACATTGCTATCATTATGTCGTGTTTTTTACGAGTCAAAGGATCAGAAAAACTCCATGTTTTTCCATCGTGGCCACTGCGAGATAGTTTTATGTACGTGTTGAAAACCTATCGTTGCACAAATACAGGGGGTGCTTAATTAGGTTCTTTGTGCACCCATCAGATGACATTTGCTTCAGTTTTGGACAACTTGTCCTGAACCTCCATGCTCACCATGTGTATCACCAAATGCCCCAGGGATCAGTGAATGGCATATTTTCTTACTTTTGTAATGTGGGAGAGTGGTGTTCAAAGTTGCAAAATAAAATAAAAATCGGTCCGTTTCTGGAATTGTAAAAAAATAACCACATTCATTTTTGGAAATCCTCTTGGTACTAATTCCGCTGGTCTCAAATACTGTCTGTAAATGTACAGAAAGTCCTTCCTTGATAGTGTCTTCTTCGAGACAAAGGTTCGGTGGTACCTTTATTGGGCCCAGCAATAGATCTCTCTTAGTACGAATTTCATGTAGCTTTGAAATCCAGGAAAAAGAGGAATGGATATGTCTTCGGGTTTTAGAGTTAAGCCAAAGGTTGATACAACTTATGAATGGTTTTGTCAGATTTCTTCCTCAGTGAACACACTGGCCTGTTGTTGGCACAAGCTTCGACAGCATCCACAAATTGTAACCCCAATTTGTAAGAGTCTGCGCATGTTACTCTGGGACATATCTAAATAGCTGAAGAAGGTATTTTATGTCATGAAGTAAAGAAAGTCACCTGTGATTTCATGACCTGCCGGCAGGTATATTGTATATCATTGTTGGAACAATAGTGGATGACTCTTTCTCAATATATTAAATCAGTAACATGTTAAAGTGTTAAGATGGCTAAGTGATAATATGCCAAAGTGTTCAGATTTTATAGCAGTAAAATGTTACATTGTTAAGATGGTTAAGTGATAATATGTTAAAGTGTTAAGATAATAAAGCAGTAATATGTTAAACTGTTAAGATGGTTAAGTGATAATATGTTATAGTGTTAGGATATTAAGGCATTAATATGCTAAACTGTTCAGATGGTTAAGTAATATTATGGCTAAGTGTTGAGATATTAATGCAGTAATATGTTACATTGTTAAGATTGTTAAGTGATAATATGGTAAAGTGGTAAGATATTCGAGCGGTAATACGTTCAAGTGTTAAGATAGTTATGTGATAATATGTTAAAGTGTTAAGATGGTTAAGTGATAATATGTTAAAGTGTTAAGATAATAAAGCAGATATGCTAAAGTGTTCACATGGTTAAGTGATACTATGGTCAAGTGTTCAGATGGTTCAGTGATAAAATGCTAAAGTGTTAAGATGGTTAAGTGATAATATGTTAACGTGTTAAGATAATAAAGCAGTAATATGCCAAAGTGTTCAGAAAGGTTAAGTGATAATATGTTCAAGTGTTAGGGTAATTAAGCAGTAATATGTTCAAGTGTTAAGATAGTTAAGTGATAATAAGCTATAGTGTTAGGATATTAAGGCATTAATATGTTAAAGTATTCAGATGGTTAAGTAATATTATGGTTGAGTGCTAGGATATTAATGCTGTAATGTGTTAAATTGTTAAGATTGTTAATATATGTTAAGATGGTTAAGTGATAATGTCCTGAAATGTTCAGATGGTTAAGTAATAATATGGCAAAGTGTTAAGATGGTTTAGTGATAATGTCCTGAAATGTTCAGATGGTTAAGTAATAATATGGCAAAGTGTTAAGATGGTTGAGTGATAATGTCCTGAAATGTTCAGATGGTTAAGTAATAATACGGTAAAGTGTTAAGATATTAAAGCTGTAATATGTTCAAGTGTTCAAAATGATTACGTAAAAATATGGTAAAGTGTTAAAATATTAAAGCAGTGATACGTTAAAGTGTTATCATAGTAATTTGTTAAAGTGGTAAAATGACAAGCAAGTAATGTAGTGGGTTTTATGAGTGAACAGCGGTTAGTTTATTCAGTCAACGTATTTGTGCAGTTTAACACAGTGCACTTTACATCTGTTGTCAGTGCCCCGGTCCCCACATGTGCCACCAGGTTCTTAAAATGCATTTGGATAACAGCTTCATTTATGGGCACGTAAATAATTGCGTGATACACAAAAAGCGACAGATAATGAAGCAGTATTTTTATGTAGTAGCCGATGTAAAATGAATATATAAATGAAAGATTGTTAACCTATTGCCTGTGTATGACTCATGAGATAAGACAGCCTCCGTGGTGTAGTGGTTAGAGCGTCCGCCCGGAAAGCGGAAGGTCGCGGGTTCGATCCCCGACCGCGTCATACCAAGAGGCGTTAAAATATGGTACTTGTTGGTCCCTGCCTGGCGCTCGGCATTAGTGGGTACAACAAGGACTGGTCGGCTCGGAGTCAGTATAATGTGTCTGAGTGGGGGTATTCATGCTTCACTGCGGCATGGTATCTCAGTGGGCTAGCACTATAAAACCAGCTTAAGTCTGGGCTAGTACAAGCAGCCGCACATACACATACACGCATGTACGTCGTCATATGAGCGAAAAATCCTCAAGCACGACGTTAAACCCAATTTCACCTCACCTCACCTCACCTCACCTCATGAGATAAACATGATACTATACCATTCAAACTCCATTTCTGACAAATATTCTGTAGGTTATCAATGTTCTGCTTATTGCTAAAGTGTATCAATGTTCTGCACAACGTTGAGAGTGTTTTATGTTTTGCTAAGTGAACAGTTCTCTAAAGCATAGTTAGACATACGTTTTTAACATATACCCACATTAATACTATCCCTCTGTTATATATTTGTTGAGAACCTAATTTCTCCTGTGGTATTACTACTTGAATGAATAGAAAATATTACGCTGCTAAAATGGGAATGCAAATTTGAAATATCTGACGGACTTTTGCTGATATTCATACAATATGAATGCCAAATATGACTTTCTTATATCTGCTGCCTCGGGGACGATTTTGCGGGCAGAATGTAGTACGGCAAAAATATACCGTAAAGAACGTGTGACATGAATTGGTTGGCTATAAAACGATGTTTTTTTTCATTTGTCTGTCATCTCAGTGGTACAGTTAGTGAAAACATACAACGACTGGTGGCAAAGCTCAACCCAATAACGCCATCGTCCACCTCTACAGCTACGGTAACACCAGGATTGCGGTGGAATTCATCCCCAACAATGAGGAACCGTCAACGCTCCGCAGGGCTTCACCCGAGACGACCAGCTCCATCCGCCATTCTCACTGATCAGTATCGTCGGCTGCAGCGACGTCAGTGGTGTCACAACAGCGATGCAGACAACAGTGTTTGCTTCAGTTTCAGTTTGGATTGAAGCATACATGAGGGTGAGCTTGTGCATGCGGCAGTATATGAAGAAGATATGTTTCAAAGGTGCGGCTTCATACGATCTGAATAATTCCACTCACTTCCTGACTGAACAAATCCAGACTTATCAAAGTATTGTAGACCTGTTTTAGGAATTGACAGAAAATTGATACTAGACAATACAGGTGTCGAGTAACCAGATGCAGCTCTCTGAATATACATTTAGACTTGTGGTTTCTCACTCGTTCGAGAGTTGAACCCCCACCGGAGGTATAACAAAGCACAGTCTATGTTTGTATTACGGTACCTATCTTCCATTTAGGACAGGTAAGAGTGTCGTCGTATGAAATGGACATGGCACATGGTAATACAACATGTGAACATTTACACAAATCACACATTTTCACGAATTTTGTGATAACTTCTGAAATATTTCATATATAGCAACAATAAAATATTACAAATTAAAAGACATTGTTTTGTATTTTTCAGCATAGATATATGTGTTGAAAGTTTTTAACAGTTGCATTGCATTCACCAAAATGTAATTTTTGCCCCAAATTACAGATTCGTGTTTTTGGATTGTCTGGTCCAGACACGATTTGTTCTAAAATAACGTCGTACAGCTGTAATACTGCCAGAAACAAATGGGTACTCATGAAAATTTCCACAATTGTACAATCGACACTGCTTTTGGCGGAGATTTCTAATGGATGTGGAAAGTTTTTTGTCGCTTCTATTTTCAAAACTCACCGCAAGGAAAGTTTAACAAAAACATCGTGAACAAAAGTCTTGATTGTGGATCATTTCCAGGGATTTTTAGAACAGCTCTTGTCAAGCCTTTCCTCAAGAAGGAAAACCTGGATCCATCAAACTTCAAAAAACTTCAGACCCGTCTCAAACCTGACATTCCTGTCTAAAATCATCGAAAAGACTTTTCATATTAGTCTCAAATGTCACCTTGCAAATAATTATCTTCTAGAAAAGTTCCTGTGAGCTTGCTGTGAGTTCCATAGTACTGAAGCAGCCTTGCTAAGAGTCATCAATAACATTACCCGTGCAGTTGATCATGGCAACATTCAGCCTTCGATACGATCGATCACAACGTTCTTCTGGATGGACCCCAGCATCAGTATGGACAGTGCTGCAGTGGATACCTTCATACATTCATGGAAGATCACAATTTGTAATGATTGGAAATGACAAGTCATCCACTGTTAACTGGCAATATGATGTCCCACAAGGATCTGTTCTAGGTCCAGTGCTATTCGTCCTTTACTATGGCAGTACTTCAAACATCATCTCACAACACC